CCAAATTATGTGTTACAGCTCATTTTACATGAACTGAAGTTTTAGTTGCCTGTTGGGATTTGGGAGCCCCTCCAGTCATATTGATTACTTATTTATAACATCTTCTTTAGGGATGGGTTATATCCTCTGATGGCTAATCTCTTAATGTTGTGTTAAGTTTCCTGTCGATTTCAGCAAGTTATATTTTCTGACCTTGTCCCCAAATTCTGGAGGTGCATTGTATTTTGAACCCGTGATTTCCTTTAGGACATGTGGGATATTTTGAAAATCTTGTAGATAATTTTAAAAGTGCAAGGCAATAAAGGAACCAGGATTACTCATTCACAATTTTAATCTAACGGGAACTGGTTTTCCCCAGTGAGGACCTGCTGTGTGTGCAGCCTCGTGGTAGGTGCTTGAAGAATACAAAAGAAGTTTCAGTTGCTGTCCTGCAGTCAAGAAGCAGTCATTTTACTGGGGTAGAGCTAATTGCTATAGTAATGCCTGACTTTTCTCCACATTTCAGGAACACTAGCACGGCTTCACCTACTTCATCTGCAATTCTCACAACAGCCATGCAACATTTTTCATGCTCCTTATTCGGATAAAGAAAGTGAGGCTCATTTGGTTAAGTGACTTGCCTAAGCTCCCACAGCTGCAAAATTCCGGAGGCAAATCATTTTTTTCCTTAATAATTGAGACATAGGTCTCCCTTTATTTTCAGGTGGTGAAGATTCTAGAATTAGTAGGAAATACTGATTCTATCTGAATCGCTAAACTATGAGGGAAGCTATACAAAAACCTCGATAGTTTTTGTTCCCTTTCTCATCTTGTTCCATAATTTATTTTGGTTGTTTTCAGTATTCTGCTATTAGGAATAATGCTGTCACAAATATAATTTCTCCTTTTATTTTTAGTTGATATAACTGTACATACTTATGGGATACAGAGTGATATTTTGATACATGTATGCAATGTGTAATGATTAAATCAGAGTAGTTAGCATATCTGTCACCCCTAACATAGAATTTCTTTGTGTTGTAAACATTCACATTCCTCTCTTCTTTTTGGAAACATACAATAATATTAATCCTATTCACCCTGCAGTTCTGCAGAACACTAGAAGGTAGTCCTCCCATCTAGCTTAACTTTGGATCCATTAACCAACCTCTCCCCATCCTCCCCTCCCCCACATTTTCCCTAGCCCCTAATAATCACAATTCTATGCTTTACTTCCATAAGCTCAAATATTCTTTAGTTTCCACATACGAGTGAGAACATGTGGTGTTTGTCTTTCTGTGTCTGGCCTATTTCACATAACATGATGTCCTCCAGGCTCATCCATGTTGTTATGAATAATAGGATATCATTCCTTTTATGGCTGAATATGATTCCAGTGCATATATATAACATCCATTCCTCTCTTATGGACATTTAGGTTGATTCAACAAATAATCTAATTAAAAACTGGGCAAAGCATCTAAATAGACACTTCACAAAAGAAGACATAGAAATGGACAATAGGTGTATGAAAAAAATGCTTAACATCACTAATCGTCGAGGAATGCAAGTCAGAATCACAATGAGATATCATCTCACCCCAGTTAGAATGGCTATTATAAAAAAGACAAAAAAATAAAGGCTGGAAAGAATGCAGTGAAAGGGAACTCTCAGGTGTTGCTGGTGGGAATGTAAATTGATATAGCGACTATGGAAAGCAGAATGGAGGTCCCTCAAAAACGAAAAATGGAACTGGCACATGCCCTAGCAATCCCATTCCTGGGTATGCATCCAAAGGAAAAGAAATCAGTATATCAAGGGAATACCTGCACCCTCATGTTTATTGCAGGACTATTCACAATAACTAAGGATTCAGATCTTATTCTGTCCGACTTGGAAGCTCCAAGCTCTTCTACTCCCTACTATCTATGCCTACAAGAACCTCCACCCACAAGCAGGGCTGAATGGATGTCAGAGTGGCCTAGGGGACAAGGGAAAATTTTTTTTAAGTCAATACATGTTAACCTTCAGGTTTAGATTCCTGGGCGATGCATTCGGTGATGGTTGTGCTCCCTAGCTTTCAAGGACTTATTTTTTTCTTTGGAGACACGGCCAGTCACACCAGCTAATTTTTCACATTGGTGGGTATCTTTTCCTTTTTATGAGAAGGTAACAATATTGCATAGCATGAAAGGAGCATGACTAGATCCACAAAACTGCATTCCTGCTTTTGTTTTCATTTAAAACGAGTTCCTGTTGAGGATAGTGGAGATGCGTGCTTTGCTGGAGGAAGCCAACAACCCCATACTGGGAAACGATTTTGCATTGCTTAGTGTAAGATTAGGCTGCAATTGATAGAGCCTCTAAAATCACCGTGGATAAACAAGGTAAAATTCTATCTTTCACATAAAAATCTACAGGCAGCCCAGGGCTGCTATGGTACTCCCTAGAGCCAGACTCAGTTTCTTTCTTGACACTTCGCTGTTTCTAGCCTGGACTTTAACCTTAAGGTCTAAAATGTCTGTGTCCATCTTCCAGGCAGCAGGTTAAGGGATGAAAGAAAACGAAGGGGCAAAAAGCACCTACTTGCTGTTTTTGAAGAAGGTTACCAGATACTTCCACCGCATGACATTGGCCAGAAGTATTGTTTATGGAAACACCTAATCGTGAGGGAGATGTGGTCTTAATGCTGGACGGCCATGTGCTTTGTTAAAAATGAAGAACATGAGAACGGCTGTCAGGGGACAGCTAGCAGTCTGCCACCAAGGTCTTGGAATTTGACCCTTGCCCTCCCAACCCTACCTCAAACTTTGAACATCTGCACCCACTTAATGGATATTTGTTACATACTTGAGCAACCAACCCTAAAGAAAGTTAAAACTGCATTCATCACAATTTGAAAATAAAGACAAAGGGTAATATGTTAACATTCATAATAGTCATGATCTCCTTTTAGAGAGAGGGATGATGCTGTTTGCCATCTTTCACCAAAAACATAATTTCTGGGGCCTTGACGGAGAGCTGGGCTTGCAGGTCAGCTTCACAGATGGTTTCTTTTCTTTCCCCTTATTTTCACTTAATTGGAAAAGCTTAAATTACAGTTAGAAGTAGCAGCAAGTGATTGATGATTCTGTCCAGTAGTCCTGCATAGCCAAAGATAAAACTGGGGAGATTGCTCACTGAAGGCCACTTTCGGTATTTTGTCAGAACAATGTCACACTTGGGATTGGGAAGGTTTCGTCTTAGGGCTACCACATAGGTTCCTTATCGACCCTTGGATTTGATTTTAGCCTAAACGCATGACTTTGTGTTGTGTTACAGTCCTTGGGTGTGTTTCTTAATTATCCCGAGTGATTGTGTCATGTCTGAAAACTATTTTTATTGCACTATCTGTGTAACTTTGGGCAAATCATTTACATGTTCCCTGCCTTGGTTTCCTCAACTGTAGAATAGAGATAGTGGTGGTAGTACTGGCCTTACAGCATAGTTGCGAATATTGTGTGGGCTAACGCACGTGATCACCTAACTCAGTTCTGGCACATAATACACACTCAATAAATATGCGTTGTGGTGATTGTTATTTTCAGTATTTTCAAACTCTAGACTATCCAAGCCTTTTGTACCATAGTCCAATCTCCTTGTGAAATCTTGGTTTATTCTTCATTTTTCTGCCTTGTAAGTCATGAGCTTTCTTTCTCAAAGTGAGGTTTGGTTCTGGACGTTTGAATTACTGAACATGTTTTGGAGCTGCCATTGAAAAATAATAGAGATAGTTTCACTTGCATTAATGAGTGCCATAAAATATCTTTTTATTTTGTTCGTCATTTCAAAAACACATGTGAGCACCTCCATAGACAGTGTTCTTCAGTGGGGGAAGTAGTCTTCTATTTGCCATCTGTCTCTCTGCCAGGCAAACTGAAAACGCAGACGGTCAGAGCCTGTGAGTTGAAGATTTTCTGTATAGTCTTCAACACTAAACCAAGATCAGAGGGCGTACTTAATGAAGGATTGTGCTATCAGCTTGTTCTTTCTCTCTGAACACAGTGAAGGAGTTTAAACACAACACTTGTGCTTAATTTTGCAGGTAGTTTTAGAAACTTCTCACCAATAATGAGACTTGCCAGTTTTTCCTACTTGGTTTTGGTCCTCTTTAGTTTTTTAGTGACAAAATTAATTAAATTCATGTCAGAAAGTAAAGAGTTTTTCCCCTGTGTGTGCTTGTTCTGAAAAAAAAAGTGAGTGTTTATTTGAAGATGAGGTGCCTTCCTCTCATAATCTGACACCTATTTGTAACAGACATGGTGACAAGGCCAGATGAATTGCTGGGTCAATAAAACCTGACTTTCAAATACTCATCACTGCATTTTCTGTCCTTATTTTTCATTTTTTGAGAGAAATCAGCACACAACACAATCACTTATTCTGAGACATAGATTCATGTTTTGTATTCATGTAGGAGCCCTGTTTATGATATTATTTTGCATCGTACCATTGTCATCATGATTTACAGTATTACTTCTAGGCTCTAGTAGATCACTTTTGTGGTTTGGGGCTATAACAGCATGATAGTAGAACAAAAATACAGACTTGAACAATAAACACTAAAAATGTGTGAATGGAGTCAAGTTGCAGGCTATTCACTGAATGTGAGCAGAGGAAAACCAACCATGTGTTATTAAGAGTGTAACGAGATTTCCGTGAAAATCATGATTGCTTATATTTCAAATCTGTTTCAAAATTGTTTTAACTTGTTCTTTTTTTTTTCCTCTGAAGCTATCAAACTTCCAGGGGCCACACTTTGGGAACACTATCCTACTGTTTTCGATGAGAGCGTTTTTGGAATAGACTGATGAACGGGGTACAGGTGGGAAGGGACTGGTCCCTGGTGAATTTTAAAGAGAACGAAAATGAGACACTGAAGAACAATGGGTTGGGCTTCTTGTGTGGAACAGTTGGAGAACCAGGAATTTAAGCTATGTACTTACAAGTGTTTCCATTTGTTCTTCCTTTGTACCTTGCAGAATAAAAGCCAGGGATCCATCTTTGTCCGGATACACGCCCCGTGGCAGGTGCTGGCCAGAGAGGCAGAATTCTTGAAGATCAAAGTTCCTACCAAGAAAGTATGAGCATGTTTCTCCTGGGTTGTGGGCCTCCTGAGGGCCGGATGGATGCAGATAGTTTGGGAATAGGGCCAGGTGGGATGTGGGTTTTGTGGAATTGAAATCACACTTGCCTCCCCAGCGACCCCTGATGTGGGGGGAACGGGGAAGAGTTGGGGTGGGGAGAGAGATCCTCCCACCTCAGAGCACTGGCTGGGTTTGCTCCACAAGAAGCAACACATTGTCCCTGTCCGTGTTCTTCATTTTTCTGTTTCACCTCCTTTCTCTCTTTTCTCAGGGTCCTAGTACAGTCAGACACTTCTTTAGTGAACAGAGTAATGAGAGAAGGCCTCAAGCCATGCTGACTGCATCAGCAGCGTGCAGGGGAAACAGCACCAAATTTGCTGTGGAGATTCTGGTTATGATTCCGCCACTAAATATTGTGTGGTGGTGGGTTTCACTTATCTCTTCTGTAAATCAGAAGGTTCTTAATCAGGTGACTTGATTAACCTCACCTGGTAAGTGTTTTCACAATGTTCATGCCAGCGTCCCATCTCTGGGAATTTGACCTACTTGGTTGGTATGGAATGAAGTTCTCATCGGTGTTAGGCAAAAAATCCGCAGGAGGTTCTGATGCACATCTGGGTTGACAGCCACACAGTTTAGATGATGTTTGAGGTAGTTTTTTTTTAAATCCAGGGTAGCCTATACATAATTTAAAAATCTACCCAGAGGCCAGGCACAGTGGCTGACACCTGTAATCCCAGCACTTTGTTGGGGGAGAAGTGGAAGGATCTCTTGAGGTCAGAAGTTTGAGACCAGCAACATAGCAGTTTTAGAGGAAAGGAGTGGCTATTGACCTTGACCATCTGTGATGCCTCTTCGGGAAGGTCCTGTGTCAGATGGTACTCTACTTTAACCATGGGTGAACTGTGGGTGGTCTCTCTCTCTTTCCCTCCACCCTTCTTCTCTCTCTCTCATATACACCACACATACACACACACACACACCTCTCCATAGTGTAGTTGTGTAAGTGGTGACTTACCACGGCAAAGATCATCTTGCTCATTGTAACTACCATCATGATAGTTTCCATGCTCCCCACTGTGAACAGAATTCCATATTTGTTGCCTTCTGTACCACCACTGTGATCACCTGCCCCCTCGTCACCATGCCCACTCTCAGTGCCATCATTATAGTCAGCAACACCATTCTGATTTACATTGTGGGCTAACACCATTTTCACCACCAACAGATCTGCTATCTCCATCAAAAATCACTCATCAAATACCAGCATGTGACTGATAACCGTCATGAGTCCCCTGCTTGAGAAGAATAAAGTCTATGGATTCTGTTCTTATAGATTTATTACAATGGACAATAACTCCATGGCAGGTGGACAAATGCTTATTAAACAATGAACAAACACAAACATGAATATTAGCTACAAACATTTTGACAACGAAAGGTGATTTTTGGTGGCGGGAGCACTGGTCGCATGCCTGAAGTGTCTTAGTTTCACAACGACCACGCTGTGTCTTTCCCCTTAATTTGTACTGCTGTGTTTTTTGTCTCCTGGTTTCAGTCCTCTCAGTCTTAATAACACCACCCTCAAATGCGGGCACCATCTTTGTTTTGGATCTCCGTTCCTCCTTAACTAATGTTCTCTGGATTTCCTGGCAACACGACACTAGTTTCAGCTTTGGGTGGAGGCTTCTGCTTCCTGCTGGTGGGGTCCTGTTTTGGCCAACCCTATCACTCCTCTTTCTTCTGTCTTCCTTCTGACTTCAGTATATTCTTCTCCTTTCTGTCTGGTTTATCTGAATAATGTTTTCTTAACCTCATTCTATTTGTGTCTTGTTTCCTATGTTTTAAACTGTGCTGCTGATCCTTGGAAAGGAGGTGAGCAAAACTCTAATGCCCATGTTATGATTTCTATCCCCCAGGGTAATTCTTTTAGGGGAAACCTAGAGACATAGGAAAAGTGTGTCCTTTTTCAACCTCCCCTCGCTTATTTTCCTTCTTTGCTTTCCTTCCCATCCTTCTACTCTCATGCTTTTCCTTCTCTTCTCTCTTCCTTCCACCCCCTCTTCTGATGCCTCCTCCTAGCCTCCCTCTCTGTTCTTTGCACACACTATGACACCTCCACATCTCTCTCTCTCTCTCTCTTTTTTTTTTTTTTTTTGAGATGGAGTCTTGCTCTGTCGCCCAGGCTGGAGTGCGGTGGTGTGATCTTAGCTCACTGCAATCTCCGTCCCCCAGGTTCAAGCAGTTCTCCTGCCTCAACCTCCCAAGCAGCTGGGATTACAGATGAGCATTACCACGCCCAGCTAATTTTTGTACTTTTAGTAGAGACAGGATTTCTCGGTGTTGGCCAGGCTGGTCTCCAATTTCTGACCTCATGATCCGCCTGCCTTGGCCTCCCAAAGTGCTGGGATTACAGGTGTGAGCGACCACGCCAGGCCAGACACCTCCACATCTCTTGTCTTTCTACCACCTTCTCCTGCTCAGTCCTAGACTTGGCTTCCCCAGTAGTGCTCGCCTTTCGTCCCTCTGGTATCTCCTTTATCCTTTCACATGCTTATGCTTTTTAGAGCATAGTTTTGCATAAATGACATATTGGCCTTCAGAGTTTCAGTGCCTCTACACATGAGCTGTTTGGAACTAACATCTGTAGTTTAGGTAGTACCTGCACTTGAAGTTGTAGATGAGTTGGCGAGGGTGAGAACATACTATAAAACAGCCATCTCTGGGTTTCTCTCCCCGCTTTCCATTTTGGTAGACACGGCACTAGTTGAGTCCTCAGAAGGAGAGACTTTCTAACCTTGGTTCCGCAGGTATTCGTCGTGTGATTTGGGGAGCTCATCCCATCTCTCAGAGCCTCAGTTGCCTCATCTATGATATGGGCATACTCACACCTGTCCTATTTTTCTTAGAAGGTTGTTGTAAGGATCTGATTCTTAATCAGTGCTGTGTAAACACAGGAGGTTGTTGTGTCTGCTTTCTGAAATATTTTAATGTGTATTCTCAATTGTTAGTCCCCCAATCAACTTCCTTTCTGACCAAAGAAGCAGCCAGCACTGATAGTGCTCCCTCTGTGAGAAAGTCCCTGGAGAGGCACTGAGGGAGCAGAAGCAACCCATGCCCTCAGGGTGCCGACAGTCACAGGGCAGCATGGGAGGAGTGCAGGTGCCCAGACATCAACACAGTGATGGGATACTGCGTCAAGTAGTAACTCATTAGCCCGGCACCAATTCTGTTCGTCAATGTGGTGGGTTAGGGAGTAGGGAGAGGCAAAGCCATGTGGTTGCCCCTCCAAGGCTGCAGATAAAACAGAACTTTTCCCCAAAGTTTCTGGGCCCCAAACTCGACTCAGGTGGACTGTTTTGGCTTCCTTTTGCCACATTTCTTTTTTCTTTTTTCTTTTTTTCCCTTCCCTTCCCTTCCCTTCCCTTCCCTTCCCTTCCCTTCCCTTCCCTTCCCTTCCCTTCCCTTCCCTTCCCTTCCCTTCCCTTCCCTTCCCTTCCCTTCCCTCCCCCTCCCCTCCCCTCCCCCTCCCCTCCCCTCCCCTCCCCTCCCTCCCTCCCCTCCCCTCCCCTTCCCTCCCTTCCCTTTCCCTTCCCCTTCCCTTCCCTTCCCTTCCCCTTCCCTTCCCTTCTGTCTTCTCTCTCCTTCTCTCTTCTCTCTCCTTCCCTCTTCTCTCTCCTTCCTTCCTTCCTTTTCTTTCTTTCTTCCTTCCTTTTCTTTCTTTTCCTTCCTTCCTTCCTTTTCTTTCTTTTCTTTCCTTCCTTCCCTCCTTTTCTTTCTTTTCCTTCTTTTCCTTTCCTTCCCTTTCCCTTTCCCTTTCCTTTCTTGATGGAGTCTCCCTCCAGTGGGAGTCACCCAGGCTGGAGTGCAGTGGTACAATCTCAGCTCACTGCAACCTCTGCCTCCTGGGCTGAAGGAATTCTCTTGCCTCAGCTTCCCAAGTAGCTGGGACTATAGGCACGCGCCACCATGCCTGGCTATATTTTGTATTTTTAGTAGAGACAGGGTTTCAACATGTTGGCCAGGCTGGTCTTGAACTCCTGACCTCAAGTGATCCATCTGCCTCAGCCTCCCAAAGTGCTGGGATTACAGGCATAAGCCACTGCACCCGGCCCTAGATCTTCTTTGTATCATAGAAGTCAATGGCTTGTAGTGGAGCTGACAGAGGGTGTTATACACAGGTGAGGGGGGATATAACTTGATATACTGGGTAGGATGCTATGTTTGTAAAAATTAATCTAAGGCTCTGATCCCAGGGGTGGGGATCTGGGTTAAACCCAGTTCCTGAGTTGAGAGAGGAGCGTAGAAAATGGAGGACAAGACTCGCTGTCTGTGGAGGGCTAGTGTTGGGGCTAGTGGCATGCTGTCTTTTTAAAATGGGTTTGGGAAGTGATCAAAATGAGAAAAAACCACATTTGCTGAGAGCCACATCCTGGCGGCGAGGGAAGCGTGGAGGAAGAATGAGACATGGCGTGGGATCAGTTAAGCATTCTCCAGGCAGTGGAGGGTTGGATCATAACTCAGTGGGGTCCAGAGAGACCGGGAAGATGGGGAGGAAATCACAAAATCGAGATCTCAAACGTGGACAAATCCATTGTAATGTGTCCAGGGACTCCACGTCCTGAGCACAGATATTAACGGGGAGGGGGAATCTTGGAAGGAAGCATTTGTTTTCCAAAAACAACAACAGAAGAGCCAGCATTTTGCGAGGGACACTCAAGATCCATGCACAGAAGGGTGTGGGAAGGCCTGGCCTTTGGCCCCGAGCAGCCTGAGAAGGTTTGAAATGGGGGTATGGAAGCAGGTGCTTTCTCACCTCTGCTCATTACCAAGATGGCTCTTCTAGAGATTGTGGTCAACATTTCTGTTGATTTCTCATTTGCTTTTTTTGTATATATGAATGAACACTCCGTTTCTCATCCTTTACATTGTCTTTTTCCTCAAGCCTCCAGCAGAGACAAGGTCGGTGCAAGCTGTTAGGGACGACTTTCTTT